CCCAGCCGCCCCGGGGCTGTCCCGCTGCCAGCGTCCTCAGAGGCTTTGCTTCCCATCTCCCTGGTCTGCTTGTCTTCAGCAGACCAGGGAGATGGGCAGCAAACCCCGTTCGTAACTGCTCGGGGACTGCCTGTATATGCTAACTATGATGACTCATGGGTACTTCAGCATATTTGCATTTTGGGAGCAAAACCAAGAGACTGGCTGTAGGAGGATTTCTGTCCCCTAAAAGATAGGTCAGTTGAGGCAACTTCCATAAAGAATATAATTTCGTCTTAAGTTTCTAAATTAGTGATTAATTTTTTACAAAGTACACTTAGCACAATTTATCCAACTACAGAGATGAGAAAAATTTCCCCACACAAAATAAACATGCACATTTGCATGTCAATTTCACTGTAGTTGATTCAACGGATTTCTGTCCCCTAAAAGATAGGTCAGTTGAGGCAACTTCCATAAAGAATATAATTTCGTCTTAAGTTTCTAAATTAGTGATTAATTTTTTACAAAGTACACTTAGCACAATTTATCCAACTACAGAGATGAGAAAAATTTCCCCACACAAAATAAACATGCACATTTGCATGTCAATTTCACTGTAGTTGATTCAACACTGTCCCCGGGGGGGGGTGAAGAGGGCAGATTTGTGGGCCCTGATAGTCAAAGAAAGGTAATTATCAGGTAAACCTGGATAAATTTCTTATTCTTCATTATACTAAGGTCCCACATCTGTTAGAATGGGATTTCCACAACTGTGCACATCTAGAACAAGCAGCAGCACCCTTTCTACTGCAGATATCCACATATTAGGAAAATAGACTCATTGTCACCTTGGTAAGGTATTATAATGTAGAGCAGGGGTCCCTAGTCTTTTTATACCAAAGATCCCTTTTGGAATTTAAGGGGACGCCAAGATCCACCTTCCCCCAAGCTCTGCCCCGCAAATCCAATCCCTTGGTCTTCAACTTTGACTGCAGCATCTCCTGGGAGAAGAGCCTCACAGATGATGGATACCAATGCCTAACAACCATAGAAAGACATTTGTATCTGTGCAGGGCTCTACACACCTCTCCCAGGAGGGGCCAGCAAACCCCGGTAGCTCCAGGGATGGTGGTAGGTGGGGCATGTGGCTCTGTGCGCTGCCCCTCTTCGCTGGCACCAGTCCCGTCAACTTTCTTTGGTCACTGTTCCCTGTCCACAGCCAATGGGCACTTTGATGGCCATGCCTGCAGACAGGAGCTGCTCACCAAGACTCCTGCCTGCCCCACTCCCAAACATACAGGACTGTGCTGGTCACTGAGGAACGGCCAGTGGTATGGGGCTGGGACAGGAGATCCCTGCCAAGTACTAATAGCCATCAACTGGGAGACTCCCCAGGATCGACCAGTCAATCACTATCAATTAATGACCACTGGTGTAGAGAAAAAGTCTGTCATAAATGTCACTGGCTGATGACGGGATAACCAATTTCTATAATTTTGTAAATTTACATTGCCACAGGATAAATAGATATTGCTCTTGGAAATGTATAAGTTCTCTGCCCATGAGACTATTAGTACTCTCAAAGGCTGAGCTCTGATGTTTAAATTTTTACACTATGTCTGACTTGCTTAGGCTAAGGAGATGTTCCTTCATAGTGCATGATTTGCAAAGAAGAATATCGGAACTGTTTGAAGCCTTACAAGCTGCAAACAGCCCCCAGCCTCTGTAAAAGCTTGCAAAATTGCTACACATGTACAAAACATTAATCACTGTTGGATGCTTACTTGGATGAAGCAATATTTCAGTCAATGCTTAAGTTTAGCTTTTCTAAACAGCATGGCTTATTAAACTATGTCATGATTGGGAATATGTAGAGGTCATTTTCAGAAAATAAAGGTTTTTTTGAGTCCCGGTCTTTATATTTTCTCCACATGTGGATACTCATGTGTATTGTTGTCAGAAGAATGGCCATACTGAGTGAGACCAACAGTCCATCCAGTCTAGTATCTTGTCTGTCGACAGTGGCCAATACCACATGCCCAGAGGGAAGGAAAACAACAGGCAATCCTCATGTGATTCACCTCCAGAGAAACAGAGGCTAGGGACACCATTCCTACCCAACTTAATAGCCATTGATTGACCTAACATCCATGAATCTATCTAGCTCTTTTTTGAACCCAGTTAAAGTCCCAGCCTTCACCACATTTTGTCTGGCATGGATTCCACATGTTGACTATGCAGTAAGTGAAGAAAAACTTCCTTTTGTTTGTTTTAAACCTGCTGCATATTAATGTCATGAGGTGACCCCTAATTCTTATATTGAGGGAATAAGTAAATAACATTTCCTTACTCACTTTTCTCACACAAGTCATGATTTTGTAGACCTCTCTCATATTCCCCCTCAGTCTCCTCTTTTCTAAGCTGAAAAGTCCAAATCTTTTTAATCTATCTTCATATGGGACCCATTCCAAATCCTAATCATCTTTGTTACCCTTTTCTCAGCCTTTTTCAATGCCAATATATTTCTTTTTGAGATGAGGCGACCACATCTGTACGCAGTATTCAAGATGTGGGCGTACCATGGTTTTATTTATAGGCATTAAGATATTTTCTATCTTATTTTCGATCCCTTTTTAATGATTCCTAATATTCTATTTGCTTTTTTGGACTGCTGCTGCACAGTTAGTGGATGTTTTCAGAGAACTATCCACAATGACTCCAAGATCTCTCTCGAGTAATTGTAGCTAAATTAGTCCCTATCATGTTGTACGTATAGTTGGGATTATTTTTTCCAATGTGCACTACTTTACATTTATCAACATTAAATTTCATTTGCCCTTTTTTTTGCCCAATCACTTAATTTGGTGAGATCTTTTTGAAACTCTTCACAGTCTTCCTTGGTCTTAACTATCTTGAACAGTTTGGTATCATCTGCAAATTTTGCCACCTCACTTTTTACCCCTTTCTCTAGATCATTTTAAAATAAATGTAATAGGACTGGCCCCAAGACAGACCCTTGAGGAACTCCACTAGTTATCTCTCTCCATTTGGAAAACTCACAGTTTATTTCTACCCTTTGTTTCCTGTCTTTTAACCAGTTATCAATCCATGAAAGGACCTTCCCTCTTATACCATGATAACTTACTTTTAAGAGCCTTTGGTGAGGGACCCTGTCAAAGGCTTTCTGGAAATCTAAGAACAGGAAAACCTGGAAACACTTAACTAACTGGAAAACTTTAGAAACTGGCAAATTTCCGAGCCAGGAAAAAACTTGTTAAAAAACAAACAAAAAAAAAAACTGGCATTTAAAGCCAAGCTGCTCCTCAGATGCCCCTCCCCACCCCTGCTCAGACGTGTGCGCGCAGCACACACTGGGGAGAGGGGCAAATGGCTGTGCTGGCTGAAAACCTGGAAACACTTAACTAACTGGAAAACTTTAGAAACTGGCAAATTTCCGAGCCAGGAAAAAACTTGTTAAAAAACAAACAAAAAAAAAAACTGGCATTTAAAGCCAAGCTGCTCCTCAGATGCCCCTCCCCACCCCTGCTCAGACGTGTGCGCGCAGCACACACTGGGGAGAGGGGCAAATGGCTGTGCTGGCT